TCCTCCCCCACCTAGCAGGGCCTGCTTCATGCATCTAGCAGAGGCTTCTCCACCTCCCCCTGGCCATTCTAGTGTTGTGGCCAACGACGGGGGGAGAAGAATTTGGGGAAGGGAGCCACTTATCTGGTCTGATGGCATCAAGATGGCAATCCCAGCCTCAGCTGACCACTCTCTTGATGGTGCAGCTGCCCCCAGTGGTCACTGTACAGTACAGCTTTCTTCCATGCCCATTGCCCTCCGTGGTCACTATGCGGTATCACTGTACCTCTGATCAGCCCCTCTCCTTCCTTGGCAGATCTCATTTTCCTGGGACAACCAAGCCCTGACCTTGCTGTAAGTTATGATAAGCGGAAGCTCTATACCAAATATGTTGGCCTTAGCTCTTGCCATTTAGGAGGAGTTCTTGAACAAATGGACTCACAGACAGATGGACAAACAGATGCACATTTCTAAAATATACAGATAAAAGAAAATTAACCATAATGGTAGGAGAGGGAGATGACACATACTTTGTATGTTCGATGAATGGTAATAATTCAGCTGGCAGTCTGAAGCTGTTATTCCTGGAAGGGAGGTACAAAGTCTCAAGTTAATACAACGTTCCCTCCCACAACCCTGTAGCATGTATATAAACTATGAGCTCTCCAAAACTTTTTGCCAGTTCTCTCATTAGACTAGGCAGGAGGAACAGGGGATTAAGGATGAAGATCCTTTTTTTATCCACCTTCTCCATTTTTTTCTTGTCTGCTTTTTATCCAGCAGACTCTTCTGCTCATTATGACAAGATTTTGTCCCATAGTCGAATCAGGGCACGTGAACAGGGGTAAGTGCATGTTTTCTCTTTTGTAATACCCTAAAAGGAGTGGTTTAAAGTTCTCTCCCCCATACTTAGCTAAAGATCAGGCATAATATTAAAATGAGATTTGTGCATTGCAAGTTCTTACTGATTTTCTTACTAATTTCCAAAATATTTTTATACAAAAACCATACAAAATACGGGTAAATAATGTTACAATTTATGAACTGTATGAAAGCTAAAAATTACATCTGGATATCAGTAAAATACATGTGTTTCAGTATCATGGAAGGCAGTTATAGTTTACAACAGATATAATGTGTGATCAGACATGTATAACCTGGACCATCAAATAATTTACCAGCATTGGTGTACTTTCTTTCTTTTTTTCCTCCTAGTGTGAAGTATGAACTCTACCCAATTCTCTGGAAATATGTAAATGCACAATTAGAGCTGTTTTCAAAAGCTCATTTCCCACTTAAGCTTTATAATATTGTTTCTCAGCAAGACACTGCAATTCTGTGAATAGAAGCTATTTATTTTAACAAATTTTCCCAAAATAAACATGAAAGAATGTAAACATATCTGCTTTAAGATATATTAGTAAAAGATAGCTTACCTCTGTGTGGTTGTTTTTATAATAATTGAAAGGGCTTTTCCCCTCCAGCTTACAAGATGGACTGGGCTTTGTAGAATAGAGTGTTTCTATTGAAAAATGTTATGTTCTAACACCTCAACAGATAAATTACTGCAACATATAAATTAGTGATGAAATGGAAATTTGGTTTTAAGGAAATGTCTCTTTTTGCAGACAACAATGTTACAGAGTATTCTTTGTTTGAACTGTCTGACTTTTTTGTATATGGCAATTTACCCTTTGGTCGTGTGTAATTACTAGACTGTTTATTTAGGTGCTCTTGGCATTCCAAACAGTGGCAATCCAAATATTGCTGATTGAATTACTGATTCAATTACTGCAGTGGGGTTCCCTATTGGAAAAAGAAAAAGTCAGCTTTCTGCCCTCTCTCCCCCCACCCCTGATGACATACAGCCACACAGCTGTGCAGGGGACTAATTTTGATGAACAGAGCTCAGTGAGAGTCACCACTCAGTCCTTAGAGGACTGTAATTCACTAAAGGAAAAAATGCAGTGCATAATAAAGCTTGATTAGGCACAGCTGGCCGTGTTTGTTCACAAGCAATACTGGGCTGAGCTGTCACAGAGGGGGAATCACCTCTTGCTTCTAGGGAGTATGGTCTTTCCAAGGAATTCGGCAGGGTGGTGTGAGGAGCTTAGATGGTGGCTGACTGAAATCACACCTGCTCTGGAAATCAGGACCAGATGTTCATTTATGGGTCTTGTCTGTTGAATACTGTATTTGAAACTATTTTTAATCAGACTTTTTTCCCCCAAATATGTACAAAGACTTGACGGTGTTTGTTTTCCCCTTCCAGTCCAAATGTCTGTGCTCTTCAGAAAGTTATGGGCACCCAAAAGAAATATTTCAGCACCTGCAGAAACTGGTATCAGGGAACGATCTGTGGGAAGAAAGCGTAAGTGCAATTTGTTTCCTGACAATGCAATACTGTATTATGGAAATAGTATAACATTATTACAGAACTCTTCTTCCTTAGGGGCATTTTACATACTTGCTTCAAATACAAAGCTCCCATTGCTAGCAATGACACTTTGGAAAATGATATTAGAGTACAAAGCACTTACATTCCAAGAGCTTTCCAAACACTGGTTAATCTCAGGACACACATTTAAAGATGGTTGAACTGAGACAAAGGGCTAAAATGACTTGTCTGGTTTCACAAAAGGAGCAATTGTCCAAGCTGGGGACAGAATTCAGTATTTTGTGGCTCCAGTACTGTTCTCAGACCACACCTTTATCTATGTAAAAGGAATAAAACTTGATTATGCCTTAGGATATTGGGAAGTTATTTTGTCTGTTGTTTACTAAAGCTAAGTGTTTTGGTATCTTTTTTAGTACCTTACAGGGTTTTTTCTTTATATTTATTGTAATTGTGACCTCATAATTTCAAGATGAAATCAATTGCTTCCATTATCCCATGATGGTGATAACAAAATTCACTTTGGTCAATAACATCTGAGTCATTAAATCTCTACTTCTAACCATTTATCTTTGGGGTATGCTCACCTTAGCACTCAAAAAAACCCCCCACAACATAACATAAAACACATAACATAAAACATACATAAAACACATAACATTCTGCCACCAATAAGCCATTAAACTATGCATTTAGTAGTTTTACAACATTCCATTTTCTCTTTATCCCTTGAACTACCGATACTATTGGCTGGATAATGTATTCAGCAGTTATGGCAAAATCGTTAAATATGTAATTTGACTACTCAACTTAGTCAGGCAGGTCCAATGTAAAATTTTCAAAAGTTCCCATATGACTTAGGTTCTTAAGTTCCATTTTCTAATGTGATTTAGGCACTGAGGAGTCTCTGTTTCTGTTGTTACAAACTTTGTATTTACTCCAAATCATAGATAATTAACATTTTAACCAAGAATACAGAGACATTCTCACCAAAATAGGCACAGATACCTCTTTGAACCTTTGAAGTCTTCTCTACAATATAATTTAGCATATAACATTCTAACCTTTCCATTTTGAGTTAGACTGATGATTTTGCAAGGTGTTTTATTACTGAAGCTAAGTTAGGTTCTATCTCCCCTTTATGCAATTTGATCAACTCACTTATGCATAAAATTGGGGAATTCTGTGTGGATAAAGTTTAATCTCCAGCACTCAGATTGGTGCTATAGAACTTGTATTTGATCATCCGTCCAAATTTAGTTTGTTTTGTGGTCTTTCTCCCTTGCAGTCTTCTATTCTCCTCCTGATGACAGTGCAATGCAATACTGAGATCCATTTTCTTTAAAGAACATGATGTAAAATTTCCAAGATATTTATTCACCACTTTTATAAGTCCTGCCTTACTACTGTCTTCTTTGGCACAGCATTTTCTTCCAAAAGTAAACATTAGAGAGAAAGATGCTTCCTGAAAATGCTTTAGAGATTGAACTTCTTTGGACATTTTCAAAGCTGATTTTCGAACAGTAGCTGCCTCTGCAGACTTACTGCTTCATTCACGTAGTGTCATGTCTTGCCAATAGCCTCTAAGGGTATGTCTACATTACAGCGTTATTTCGAAATATCTTATTTTGAATTAGTTATTTCGAAATACCTTATTTCGAAATAATGCGTCTACACACAAATGCATTTCAAAATAGCGTTTTGCTATTTTGAAATAGTGCGTCCACACTGAGTGGATGCTGAATCACATTTAAGGTCTGCTAC